CCAGCTCTATCGCGTCCTTCGCCAGCAGGACTGCGATCTCCGCACGCAAGACATGGGCATCGGCTGCTCTCACTGTAGTGGAGTGGATGGCCCGAAACTTGGGGGGGGGGGCGCCGGGCGAACTGAATCGCATAGCCGAGCCTGATGGTCCGAATGAGCCAGCGAGACGGACTGGGGAGCGCTAACCAGGCTCTCAGAGACCGTGCAAGTGGGACCAAAGGGACCGTAGGCGTACCCGGAGTGGGGCAGCGAGGTGGAACACAGGGACGCGGCTCGGGAGGCTCTCTCTGGGAGGCGGCCCGTAGCAGGGTCTGTGTGTGCAGCACTTACCTGGTTCCACGGGGCAGGAGGTGCAGGAGGCGGCGTTCTCAAACTGCACACTGCTGCTCACTGGCGACAGAGGAGGCGGGTGAGAGTGGTGAGGATTCTGTCCCCCCACTGCTCTCCGGGTCCTCTTCAGACCCAGAGATGGTAGAAACTGCTCTTTTATTGAAAATTTGGGTACCGCTGGTTTTAAGGCCAGCAGCGGAACACAAACAAAACGAAACACAGGATTTTCCACCCGGCCCTCTTCCGGGGGAGGGAGCGATGCAGTCATCGTCTCCTGGAGAGCAGTCCCTTCCATCTCCGGGTCGCCCGTCCTGTGGCCGCTTACCTCTGGCTAGGCCACCCTTCTTGGCGGGGGCCTGGACGGGCGGGGCGGCCTGCCTGCGACTGGCTCCACGGCGCCGTTTAGGTGGAGGCTGCTGCTGCAGCGCGGGAACAGGGGCAGACGCAGGAGGACGCCCCCGGCGACGAGCAGACTGAGGAGCCGCAGGCGGTGGGTTGGAGGCAGCAGCTGACCGCCACGGCAGGATATGCTTGATGGCCTCAGTCTGCTTTTGTACAGCCGAGAACTGCTGGGCGAAGTTCTCGACCGCGTCGCCGAAGAGGCCGGTCTGGGACACGGGGGAGTTGAGGAACTGGAGCTTCTCAGCCTCACTCATGTCTGCCAGACACAGCCAGAGATGGCGCTCCTGGACCACCAAGGTGGACATCGCACGACCCACTGACCGCGCGGTGACCTTCGTCGCACGAAGCGCGAGGTCCGTTGCGGCACGAAGTTCCTGGAGAACTTGTGGATCATGACCACCCTCGTGCAGGTCCTTCAGTGCCTTGGCCTGATGGACCTGCAGCAATGCCATGGCGTGCATGGCCTGTAAGCCTCGTCGAATAGGTCCGACGAGTACCTACAGGCCCGGGAAGGAAGACACGGTTCTCCGCGCCGAGTGGAGTTAGGGCACAGCTGCATTGCAGCGGCCCGCTCCACCGGCGGGACACGCGTGTATCCCTTAGCTGCTCCGCCATCAAGGGTGGTGTGGGAGGAGGAGCCCCTGGAACGGTTTCTGGCAGTAAAAGGTGCCGTCCACGTTCCCGTAAGCTCCTCATGCACTTCCGGGAAGAAAGGCACTGGGGTGGGTTGCTGAGAACCAGCGCGCGCCACCCCGAGATACCAATCGTCCAACCTCGAGGGTTCGGGACACGGTGGAGGATTCCACACGAGCCCAACCCCGTTGGCGGCCCGGGAAAGCATAGCCATCATCTCCGGGTCCGTCTCAGGCACCGCTGGCACCCCCGAAGGAGGCAGCAGTGCCGAGTCGTCGTCCGCAGAGAGGTCTGACCCACCCTCCGATGCAGCGATCGACATCTGGTCTTCACTGGGAGCCCCAAAGGAGACAACCGGTACACACCTCGAGGATGGTCCAGCTCTCTCCAATGGAGGCTCAACTGGCTGCGGAGCATGAGAGGGGTGAGGGCTCCTAGGGGGTTGGTTCCCCGAAGGAGACGCGCTCACCGTGATCCTCAGGTCACCCGCGCCACCGCCCGAAGCAACCCTCTGATGAGGATTGGATCGAGGCAGAGGCACGGGGACTCCGCCCCTTTGCAGGAACAAGAGTCTCGACCGTAGCTCCGCGATGGTCATCTTCCCACAATGGGTACATGACTCATCCACAAACGCTGCCTCAGCGTGTTTAATGCCCAGACACACGAGGCAGCGCTTGTGACCATCCTGTGAGCCCAGGTAACGACCGCATCCAGAAACACAGATAGAAAGACATCTTTAAAAAGACGCTCTCTATCTGTGTAAGCTCTTTTAGGGACTACTCTCACTGGTGCTGAAGCACGCAGGGGAACAGTCACTGCGAACACAGACGGGAATGTGCACCCGTCTGCGCGCTGTCTCTCTCTCTCGCTGACAGGTCTTACCGGCTGTAAGAACAGCCTTTGAGCGCTGAACTGCGCACCTTACCAGCTGTTAAAACAGCTTTTTTGAATTTGCTCAAAAAAACAAAACAAAAAAGACAGACAGAAGAGAGAGGACACAAGACTGCTCGCGCTGCCGTGCTGTAACGCCCGCACCGAACAAGGAGAGATCCAACGAAGGCTTGCCAAGTTTTCACACTCTGTAGGATTACCATGAAGCGTTTGGCTCCGAAGCAAAAAGCTAGTGTGCAATCATAACAGCTGCTGTTAAATACCCGCGCTGACGAGGACGCGCAGCTGATGCAAATGATTGCATGCCAATGTGCATTGGCTTGTTTTAGTTTCACTCGAAGTAGATTGGCCTCTCTAGCGAGATTCCTATTGGTCAGTCTGACCTACGTTGTAGTGACTGGCCGATAGGGAACTGTAGATAATGACACAATTTAGATTTTTGGGTGAAATGTTCCTTTAAGATGCATCCAAATGAGAAATACAAGAATAATCACATTAACGTAACTGAGTGAGTGGGAGCAGGTGATACCTTGAGATTTTCTGCTTTTTTCATAAGGTGGCAGAAATGAGTCATTTGCATTGATTTGGATCAGTCTGGTCTGGGGACCTTGGAGAAATGCACATAGCATTTTCAAAACTAAAGAGATGTTTGAATGGGAAATCTATATCTAAGTTACTGCATAGGCCAAGTCTTTGTGGTTTTGCATTAAAGTTTTTTGACAAGGGAAAAAAATGAACCACAAAAGGGACCCAAGTCTATTCATGGTTATGATCAATCAAAGTAGTTCATATTTATTCGAGCTTTATCCATGCGTAACAATGCTGGTCCAAAAGAAGTGCCAGTAGGTCACCCTGAGGAGCCCGATCTCGTTTAATCTTTGTCCTAGTGTGCATCTGAACAAGCAGACTCTCCTTCAGAGCCGTGTTTTATGTGGCGTCAGTCCCACAGAGACCCACACAGAACAATCAATGCAGGAAAAGCTCTCAGAACTGAGGGAAGTTAATGGCCCTGTCTTGTTCAGCATCACATATGATCAATATAACAAATGAGTACAGTTAAGACTTTTCACCATATCAAACGCTCATAGAAAATAACCACTTTAAGCTGTTTAAATATTAATGTGTTTAGTTTTGTGGAGAGTTTTTCTCAGATATTTCAGTGTTAAAGTGGCCCTATTTTGCTATTTTAAAGGTTCCTAATTTTGTTTTGGAGGTCTCCTACTACAGGTTTACATGCATCAAAGGTCAAAAAACACTTTAATTTTCTCATAATATACACTGCGCATCACCACATTTTTCACTGATTCTCAAACAACTCGTCAGATGATTCAGTCCCTCCTTTCCGAGAGTCTACTTTGCTCTGATTGGCCCATGCAGTCTGTTACGATTGGTCTACTGCTTACAGCACTTATCGGAAACTAAACGCCATTACCATAACTGGCATACTGTCTCCTATGCTCACCAGGGCTGCAATTTATTTGATCAAAAATACAGTAAACGGTAATATTGTGAAATATTATTACAGTGCAAATGTAATTTATTCCTGTGAAGATGCGTATAATGGCTGCTGAGAATTCAGTTTTGCCATCAGTGTCCTTCAGAAATCCTTATAATAGATTTCTTATTATCAATGTTAAAAAGTTGTGCTGCCTAATATTTTTGTGGAAGTTATTACGTTCAGTTTTGATAAACTTAATGTGTCTTTGCTTAAAGGAGAACTCCGGCACAAAATGAACCTTTGGTCTAATAAAACATTGGTACCTGGTCAACCGTTCTCTGAGATTTGTTTTCATGATAATCGAATGTAAAGAGTTTTATCTCTAAAAATTGTTTAGCGTATAACGCTAGTAATGGGGGCATTTAATAAGTAAAAAGAAATCGCTAGTTAATACCACTAACAAGGCTCAAAATAGACCCACACGAACACAGTAACATAATGAGGGTCCCTACATGCAAAACGAAGCATTGAGAACTTTGTAAGTGTACAGACCGTTTGATAAGAAGATAAAGATAAAGACAGTCCACTTCGTGTATGTCCACTAAACAGTTTTTAGAGATACAACTCTTTACATTCGATTATCATGAAAACAAATCTCAGAGAACGGTTGACTAGGTACCAATGTTTTATTAGACCAAAGGTTCATTTTGCGCCGGAGTTCTCCTTTAATGAAAGTGGTCTCTTTAAAAAAAAAAAAAAAAATCTTACTGACCCCAAACTTTTGAACGGTATATGTCAAATTTTATTATGATGTGGTAAGATGTGGAGTCTAACAACTTCTGGACTCAGTCACGAGACATTCAAATTGAGTCGCTATACATTAAATTGATACTCAAACATCAGCTTAAAGATTTATTGTTTTGTATTAAGGAAATTTAAAATAATAGTTTCATCAAGGTCAGCCTTTTCGAACACCAGACAAAGTGCTAAAAGCCCAAGTGCAAAAACCTGTTTGTGTTGTGTTGCACTTTATGTGAGTTCACTGATGGAAAGGCAGCTTGTGACGGATAACAAGCTCAGGCACAGGGGACTGAATGGGGATCAGTTTGGACAGATCATCAGAGGTGAGATGCGTGGGGAGACGGGTGACAGTCTTAAAGCCTGGGGTTACTGGATTGAGCGACAGGATTGTGTCAACTCCAACACATAACGAACTCTCGCCTTCTAAATTGGCATGAGGTGTCAGAGATGTTGACCGTCACCATTATCATTTTCATTTCGAATCAGATGCTCCATCAACACCCAGGCGTTGTTTGAAAGGAGAAAAGGTTAGCACTCCACTTGACAAGAATGGAAGCGGTTCTAGTGACCTTCAACACATATGCGGTTAAAGTATTGCCATCTACTCTCACCGTGTTTGGGGTGGTTGTATAGTGGTTAAGAATCAGCGACGAGCAAACGAAAATACTTTTTGTGCGCAACCCCCCCCCCACACAAAAATAACGACTTTATTCAACTATTCATTTTCTTCTATGTGGGCCTCAGAGTGAGTTCACGTAGTGTAACAGCGCAGCGCTACGTCAGAACGTAGGCTCACTATTGGCCGACGCTGGTCATGAGTGTGATGCTGGCCAATAGTGAGCCTACGTTCTGACGTAGCGCTGCGCTGTTACACTACGTGAACTCACTCTGAGGCCCACATAGAAGAAAATGAATAGTTGAATAAAGTCGTTATTTTTGTTTGTTTTTTTTGCGCACAAAAAGTATTCTCGTCGCTTGATAAACTTATGGTTGAGCCACTGTAGTCACTTGGACTATTTTAACAATGTTTTTACTAACTTTCTGGGCCGGCAAGTTTCAATTACATAGAAGCCTATGGAGGAGTGAGACAGCTCTCAGATTTAATCAAAAATATCTTAATTTTTGTTCCGAAGATGAACGAAAGTCTTACGAATTAGGAACAACATGAGGGTGAGTAATTACTGACAGAATTTTCATTTTTGGGTGAACTAACCAAGTCAGAAGAATAATTTATGAACCAGTTCATCAATGAACTGTATAAAGAATGGGTGTACTTGATTATTGCTTCAGCTCGTTTGGCTGTAAGGCTATGTGGATTGTACTGTGTGACATAAAAGTATATGTGGTACAACAAAATATGTCTTGTAGCAAACAGCTTTTTCATAGAATAGCTAATTTGAAAACATCTTGGTTACTAGTGTAACCTTGAAACCTCTTTTCTTGATGGAGGAAACAGAGACGTTGTGTCGAAATACAGGCACTAAGGGTCAGTCTTGTTGGGGAGCCCCAAACACCTCTGGCATATTGAGAAAAGGCCAATGGAATTTGCATGCCCACGCCCCGGACTTACGGGGTATATAAGACGGCCGGGATGCATTACACACTTCATGTTTGTTCTAAGGAGCCGAGGCGGCGTCTCGACACCTTCAGTGGCAGTTCAAAATTCTGGCAGAAGGGACACAACATCTCCTTTCCCTCCATCAGGGAATGAGGGTTACACTAGTAAAGGTCCACAGTCTCTCCTTCCCGCTGAGGTCTGGTTGCCGGTCCAGGCTAAAAAAACTTAATTTCATTCACATTTAGTCTTATTTCAAAACATTTAATTGTAGCTGAATATCATGAACAAAAATAAACAGGCTAAAGAACACTTACACAAGGAACGTTTGCCTGTGGTTTAAAAATACCATAGCAAAAACAACTAGCCTAACTAATATACATTTCAAGCATTATTAAAGAAAAGTAAACACACAAATAAAAAATTAGCAATCGCAACAAATAGATACAAATGAACAAAGATACGTTTGAAATAAACAGTGTTTTAAGATTTTCAGGTATTCAGGTACAGAAACTGTAATCAAATGTAAAATAATACTGCACTTTATAAATAAAATCAAATTAAAATCACTTTTGATGTGTGCACAGCACAGAAAATAGCGCGCAAGTCTTTTCTTGCGCTTGAATGGTTTAAAATCACTTTAAAATCACTTTTTTCTGTGTATGCGCTTTGGATGTGTGAACAGCACAGAAAACAGCGTGACTCGTCTTGCCCTTGAATTGTTTAAAGTCATATTGAAATGCTCACAAAGGAATTTTATAATTAATATACAATTTTATATACATTTTAATCATTTTATTTTATAACAAGTATCCGATTCAAGTATTTTCGATTCCCAACCCTAACCCTTAATGTCGGTATTTTGACACGACGTCGAAAGTGACCGACAGAAAGGGAGCAAATGAACTAATATCACGCTATTGAAAAATAGTTAGCATGGCTGCTTTTATTGTGAAATGTGAAAGTTGTGGAAATAAATAAATAGTATAAATTGAAATTCAGCTCAGGGACTACTAAGAGCACTGATAACATGAGGCTCGACATGAGTCATAATAGATGAGTTTTTACTAGTTACTGTGGGGTCTTCTTTGACCTCTATTTGTTTGCTGCAGTACCCTGAAACCCCTTGGTGGGCTCCTGTGGGAAATAACCCAGAGAAAATGAACAGAGTGAAGCACAGCAGTGAATACGCTATGTGATTTAAAAGACCCAGTGGCTGCCTCTGAAAGCAGTCATTTGTGAGTGGTTACATAACAGACACGACAAATGAATACGATTTAAAAGCTTTTTAGAGCTCTATATTGGTTTATTAGCCTTAACTGCTCTTCACGGCTGCTGTGAATATGAGCTACACAGGAAGTACTTGATGCAGCAAAGCTCTCAAATTTAAGGTCATTGGTCCTGATGGATGTTTCAGGAAAACTGTTTTTGTTGGTCGGTTACACCTAGCAAAAGCATTTGAAAGTGTGTGTGCCACAAAGCAAAAAAGTCACTCTCCTTTCCTTTATCATTTTAATGGCTTTATAATGGCCAAATTCAGCACTCAACGGTCGGGATTATTCAAATTCCCGGCTGAATGTCTCTGGGGGTCATTGATGCCCTTGAAACAGTGACAGTTGAGTCCAGTGGCCTAAAAAGTAAGTGAGTGTCTTTGAGAGATCCTCATTTCCATAACACCAAAAGTCAGAAACAATTTAGCTACTTCAGCATGATTTCCATCCTTATCCGGCAGGTGTGTAATTGGCTGTATGTTATGTGGCGGCTCTGGATTGTTGGTAAGAACAGTGTCCTTAGTGCTGCTCAGGCTAATTGGATCTTTAGCCTTTAGAGTCTTGATGACTATCCAAGCAGGACAAGGGGCATTGGTTCAGTAATATCCAGTTGTGGTCTTTCATGTCAAGTGATGAGAAGACAAGAAAAAGCTGTTATGTTGATTATCCATAAAGGCTTTTCTGTTAATGTTTCAACCCATCACAGAAGATGTGGGCCAATGTGTCATCCCTGTTTTTATAAAATCCCTTTGGATGTTTGTAATAACCCCACATAAGTGAGCAGCGAAATCTAGACAAAATATCTTACCTGACACTGATATTAAAATGGACAGTATTTTCAGTTTAGACAATTTGGCTCTATTTATTTTATAATTTCATTTTTTTGTCAGATACCATCCATATTGAAATGAAAGCATGTGAATGATGTGCAAACGGTAGCTCAAGTCAAAAAACACTTGAAGCATTTGTATAATACAATATCGGCAATCCCAGACATTTGCATTCTGGCGGGATTAGATTTCTCACAGGACTGCCGAAAAACATTAGTTAATTTGCCATGGAATTTTTACTCGGGTTGTGTGAGAAAAACACAATGCAGATTCAGACAGGATTTAAATCCCCAAGTAGGCCTGTGAAAAATAAATATTTCTCTAATTCCCATCTGAATAGGGCTTTAGATGAAAATTAAGCCCTATTCGGATGGTAATTGTTTCTCATGGGGTCGAAAGGTATTTTCAACATTTACAGGGGCTATAGTCAGTGATTTTATTGCTGTCAGAATCATGCTGCCAGAATGTCAGTGTTTTTTCTCCCACCACCTGTGTAAAATTCCCCGGCTGAATAAACTACTGTTTTATTTTGAAACACCAAGGTCATACAGTCATTTAATTGCTGTCCGAATCCACATCACTGAGTTTACAAGAGATCAATAAAAAAATTAAATCCTTAAAATCCTTAAATCAATTACAATGTTTAAATCCTTTTTGACCACAGGACAAGTAAGGTCCCGACAACTGCATTTAAAAATCAATTTCTTTAAAATTATTCAGTTGATAAATAGACAGCATAGGCCAATTATTGAAAGCTTTCCCAAATCATAAGTCTGCTATGCTATTACAAATTGATAATTTAAACAACCTTGTGTATTTTTTACAGTAGCAGTTAAAATGTTAATGTAGTGCTAGTCATTTGTCCTGCATTGGTTATTTATTAGTTTTGCATGAATTATGAAAATTTTCAGTAGTTCTCTGGGAAGCATTAAAAAAATAGTAGTTATTGATTAGTTAATAGTGAACTACCACTTTCATCTGTGCGCTATTACTTAGTTCGTTAATCAGAGTTTCTTGTTAGTTAATAATAGTTACTAGATTGTTAAAATTGTGTTACTCATTGGTTCTTGTGTAGTTATTCATTAACGAAGGAACCGTATTCTAAAGTGTTACCACTTATTCTTATTATTCCAAGCATAGGACATTATATTTATCATGCGATTGACCACGTGAGCTGCGTGTTCCCGCGTTTGTAGGATCACAAAACTCACTCCTCCTGCCTGAATAAATTGCCATCCGAATGCATGAGTTTATCACTAAGGTGCCATGCAAATAATTTTTTTTACAAACACATTAGAAACAATTACCGTCCGAATAGGGCTTTAGAAATGTTAACTTTAGTACTTCATCTTAAACTTAAAACTAAAACAAAATAAAGCTAAGAAATGCGTAAAAATGTATTAAAAATACTGTCAACTATGCAACTAACAAATTTTCTTTAAATGTGTTTTTTTTTAAATAATGGATTTTCATAGTTTCAGATGAAAAGTCTTACACCAGTGAGAAGCCAGAAGCTTTTTCATAATTAGCAGAAATAAATGAAACCATGATAAAACAACAACAACAAAAAAACATCAGTTTTTATGTTTTTTAAACTTTTAATGTTTTGCTCAACCCCTGGGATGTTAAAGTTCTTATAGTTGATAAAATGTGCGCAGTCATGAACTTCACTATTCTCTTTTAATGTATCTGTTCATTCTGAGACCATACCAAGTGCTTTTCTCAGCTTTTTTTGCAACTTAGTGGAATCTCTGTGGATTTAGTCAAATTTAGGAGGCAACAAACTCTTTATTGAGGGTAATTTGCAAAACAAGTGCTTTAAAAACATTAAAAATTTTATTTCACACAGGCAGAATGCCTGTAGTAGCATTGGCTTGTACCAAGTGAATGTAATAGAATGTGTAAACAACATGCAGAGACACAACAATGATGATACATCAGCGTCAATGAGATATAAATAAT